AAGTTGACGAAATAACTGAAAATATTTAATTCCGTCTGCACTATGACAATGAACTTTCTTGTATACTACTATTCATACAAACTTCAATATGACTAAATACACCTTTTCGAAGGTTATTTAAGAAATTCACTGATCTTATCACGGAAGAAATTCAAAGATTGCATAAATTCTACATGCAAGGTTCTTTTATTACACGATTTTCTCCGAAAGGATTACCTGAATAGTGTAGTAAAAAAATTATTACAACTCTTTGGGTTAACTTACAAGGAACATAAATTTTTTAACTATAAAATATCATTTTGCCTCATGAAGAAATGATACAAGAATTCACACTTGTAATGCACAATAAGTTATTTAATTTGATATACACATGATATTATGTCCGAAAAAAATGTTTATGAATCTTGTCTTGCATTAAAAAAATTAAGATATTAAAATTTTTTCATCATTTAATTTTCTTTCAAAGGTATCTAATCAGTGAATAAATTATAATATCATTTTCTTGCAATATATCTTTATAAAAGATGAGATTAGACATTATCCGGAAAACTATTTGCTGATCATTACCAACATTACTGTAAAGAACATTCGCTTTCAATGCTTACTAACATGTGAAGGATGTTAATATTTAAATCTGAATATTAATTTTCACAAGGGAATAAATATATAATGGTTAGAATCATTATTGTTAATTTCGTAAAATTAATATAAAGTTGCGGATTTTAAGCACGTCATATAAATATAGTTTGCATCAATTGAGCGAACTTTATATCTCGAGATTTTTAAATATTGACCATCTTTTTTTTTCTTTAAGATGGGTTTGCATAATCAACTCTTAATCATGAGGATTTTTACAATCTGGTTAAATAACTAACGATATCTTCCGAAAGAATTGCTTGTAAGTTAATAGTAGATCCGGAAAACTACTTTTGTCTCATACTTATAAAATACACACGCACGTGTAATGTTTAGATAACCGTCCAACTCGAGCTGCGTAATCTTGAGCTTTTGTCATCTGAAATAGAAAGTATTTAAGTGGGTTGTTTTTTCAATTCTATTTTTTCAAACAAAATTTTCTGTTTTAATATCTAAAATGGCTTTATACGAAAAAGAAGGTAAATTATTGCTACTTAACTCTGCATGTCTTTTTTATTTCTGCACTAATGACAAATTTTTTCACATTCTACAGATAAAGTTACATATGGTACTGATAAAGAGGGCGAAATTACATACCTTTTTCCCAAAAAATCGAATGAAGTTCAGAAGTACTCCATCACCAAAAGTCTTAAAACTAAGGATACAATTGGTGGGTCAACCGCAAATTTTCCCTTAACTTACTTATGCACTTCATAAACCTAATAATATTTTTTCATATTCGTTCCAAAGTTGTCGATGAGACTGATATAACTGGCTATGTTGATAAAAAGTAGTGCTTCTGAAACTCTTTTATTAAATAATTAGCCCCTATAAAAAAAACTTTTAAGAAAAATGATCACGTGTCTGAGTTACTTCGTAATAAAATCTAGAAAAATGATCATTTATCGGAGATCTTTCCAGAATTTTTTTATAGAGAGCTAGTCTCTTTTTTTCATATAATAAACGAGTATTTTATTTATATTCACGCTATGTAATGCAAAATCTACCAATAAATCTATGACCTATAAATAATGTGTAACTAGGAAAATGCCTCAGTGATTTTATCGACAGACTTGCTTTTAACACAAACTTGAACTCATAATCTCAATAACAAATATTGCTCATTTATAATCCAAACGTATTTTATACAATATGAAAATCGTATTCGCTTTTAAAAGATAGTGTAGAATCAATTCTTGCCGCATGTGGTATTATTAATGAAACTCGCACATAATTATAAATTTGAATAGTAGTAGTAACAACCCTTGCAAATTCTGTAGTCGGCTCAGTCAACCGTAATACACTTTTCAGACGACTTAACGTCGACTGAGTCGTGACTCTCATGTGAAATTAGTGACTTTAATTGTAAATTAGAAAAATTAGAACCTTAATATTTAATTAAAATTTTATAAATTAAATAATGTTGAAAATGTAGATAATTATCAGTTTTCATCATAAATAAAGTTGTCAGACTAAAAATTTGAAACTTTTATTAATTGAGAATTCGCAATATTCTGGCGCTTTATCAAATTTGCAACGTACACTGCGAAAAAAATTAATTACACAATAAACTTATTTGAAAATTAATTTTTTTATCTTAATAAATAATGAATATACCTTATTTTCTTGCCTAAAATATAACATTTCCTGGAAAAAAGAATTGCTGATCATTACCAGAATTAAATTTACAACATTGAGTGTCATCTCGGAATTTGGCTGCGCTAGAAATTTAATCGCCGCGGCATTAACGATTATTTTTGACCTATCTGTTGGAATTGAACTTTTGGACCTTTATGCAAGTTTGGACTCTTCGGGATGATGGAATGTATATGTCAAAATGCCCATTTTTTGACATTAGGGAACGATTAATAAGCATTCCGTCATCCAAGCCGCAAGAATCTTAATCTTTGCCAAGAATTCCGTAACCAAGGGAAATTATTATAAAAAGAAGGACTATTCGCTTTGGATTTTAGATGGGATTAGATAGTCTATTCTTCTTAGGCCTATTACAAGTAGGGATGTGGCGGTTCTATTTCGGTTCTTCATAGGCCCCGCTTCGGCTCATTAGTAAAATATGAAATTTAAAATACAAATGGAACATGTGATGAAGATCAATTAGAAAAAAATTTGATTGGTCATCAAACAAATATTTGTATTGTGACCGACCGTTATAATTTTGATGACAATATTTAATATTTGTTAAAAGTATTTCCAAAAAAAAAAAAAATTTTTACCAAACTCAGGAGATACATAATATGCTAAATTTAGAATCGGTTCCAGAACTGATTCGAGTCGACTCATTTTGAGCCGATAAATCCCTAATTACAGAGCGCCGGCAGTAATAGTTGCATTACCCTGTATTTACGATTGTGTTTATTAAATTTGATCTGCATTCGTTCGTATCGCCCATTAACATACAATACATTAAAACTAATCTAATAAAACACCTCTCGTGAAATGAGGAGGTGACATGAGCAACCATAAATAGACTTACTCGTGAAGAATATAATTAATATGAATTCTTTTCCGTGGATAGCGTTCTAATAATAGCACAATTACTAAACGTGAAAGATTTCACAAAATTTTAATGTGAATTTGTGACAAATGAAAGGATGGACTAACTTTGAAGAGTACAATAAATGAATTTGAATTTATCTTTTATAAAATACACAATGTAATAGCAATGACAATCTTCAACTAGAGTCGTTCACATAAACATAAATTTTGCCATTTTGAAATTAAAACGTTTAATCTGCTTTCAGAGAATTTTTCTACAATAAACATTATACTCTATTCAAATAACTTGATATATTAAATATCCAAAATGGCTTAAGTCGAAGAAAAAATTTTTGTTAATTGTTATTTCCCTTCATGTTTTTTTTTAATTCACGAATAGCGCCGTTAATTTTTGTATATACATAAAGCGTTCTTTGCAGTGTAACGATTTGAAAATGTGAAACCTTCTGACAAATGTTGAAATTACTCCGTCAACGTCGTTCTAAATATTAAGTTCCAGTTGGCGAGTTCAACAATTCATTTTTTTTGTAACTAATGTGTATCTATTAATTAATAATATATAATATTTTATTTATGTCAAGTCTTCGAAGAGGAAAAAAATCCATTGCAAGTTATAAAGCAAGCTCTAAATTTACGTGAATGATTTCATTTATTAAAAAATTATTTTAAATTTCTATTACTGTTAGTATCTTTATTTATTATCGTATAATAAAACTTTATTTATATTGTAAGTAACATTTATTTTGTCTATCAATAAAGTACATTAATTCTAAAAAAAATATAAAGTTTTGGATTAAGAATTTGAAATATAATTTTCCATCTTAAAATAATAATGTCCAGCCTATACAATATTCCAAAAACTGATAATGAAAATACCTAAAAAATAATCAAAAGTTATGTAAATTTAGTAACCATAGTAACTCTATTTATTTTATATATATATGTATTTTTTTATTTGGCAAAGAAATAAAAAATCCTTATCTAAATGTGAAACTATATACTAGGGAACGGATCCGTTCAAACATGGTATATAAAAATTATAATATCATATTTCACATGATTAATTATTTTAAAGACATAAAGACATAACATGTGATAACGTAAATAAAATGTCATTGGTCTATCCGGATTTGGGACAGAACGACCTTGCACAGTCAGAACTCAATGATATAATGATCACTTAATAAAATCTCGTTAAAACGATTTGAACATATAAAAATCGTTATATAGAATAGAGGTTGGAACCGGCCCAAAAATCCTTAACCGGTTAATAACCGGTTAAAAATTTCTTTAACCGGTTAATTACCCGGTTAAATTTAACTCAGGCCGGCACTATAGATTTGGGCAAAACTAGCAAATTTTGTAATTTTTGTAATTGACAAAAAAATTTTAATTCTGCCCGAAAATTAAATTTCGGCCAGAGTTAACATTAGTTATTTTAACCGTTAAAAAAAATCTTTAACCGGTTAACAAGTTAAACGTCTTAACCGGTTAATTAACCGGTTCCAACCTCTATTATAGAACTTATTAATTTGATAAACCAATTTTTCTTTAAAAATTTCATAGTAAACCGGATATATGATCAGAAATTCTTCTACAGCAGCCAATGTCACCACAAAATATTATAATTAAGATATTTGTCTTTTCGGTAAGTTCGTTATTTTTTTTCACTCTTTACTTTGTTAATATTTTTCATTCTATTCATCATTCCTTTTCCATTCCATTCCTTCTTTTTTAACCTTAATATTTCATTTAAAACAAATATATTCTTAAATATACTATTAAATGAAAGGTCCTAAATGCCTTTATTCAGTCATACGGAAAGAATAAAAGTAATATTAGAGAAATTGTTTTTCGCAATTTCTTGACAATCATTTGTTGGGGACAATTAAATTATCATAAATTTTACTCCTCATGTATTTCATTCGTATTCTGACTGTAATTGCTTATCGTCATTTATCGTCTTGGATAAACTTACTTCTATGATTCTTATTTTGTGATAGATGCCTGTTCATAAACAGTGACTTTCATAATTATAGTACCACTTCATTTAAAATTATTAAATGTATTAACTTAAAATTCAAAGATCGTACGACATGTCAAATTTTTAGAAGTTATTTTTCAAATAATTTTAACAATATTTTATTGAAAAACAAAATTGATAAATTATATGATGTAATTCGCAGCCTTAAATCGTTACATGATTTAGGATATTGTCATAAGGATTTCCATAGTGGAAATATCTTGCAAGGTATATATTCTTATATTTCAGATTAACAGGACCAGAAGATAAGCAAAAATCAGATGATCGAATATATGGAGTATTACCATATATCGCTCCAGAAGTCCTGAATGTAGAAAAATATACATTTGCTTCTGATATCTACAGTTTTGGTGTAATTATGGCTGAATGTTTATCTGGAAACCCTCCCTTTTATGATAGGAAATATGATTATAAATTATCTTTAGATGTTTGTAATGGACTTCGTCCAGAATTTGGAAAAGGAACTCCTGAATTTTATAAGAAATTAGCTTATAGGTGTATGAATGCTAATCCAAATCAAAGACCAACGAGCGATGAATTGATGAATATATTGTATTTTTGGTTTTATTCTATATATGATTATGAGAATTATAAAGATACTAATAAATATGGATATAATGGAAAAGAAATAAATGAAGCATTTCAAGAAGCTGATAAAGAAATACCAAATATTACAATTTCACGTAAAACTAATTCTGATGTGTATATACAAGTAGAGCATTTAAAAATATGACAAAACCTATAATTCGTCTCTTATTACTTCATATCTGGGTAAGGATGAAAATAATGAAGGTATGATCTAAATTTTATTTTCGAAAATAAAAATATAAATACCAACAAGTTTAATGCATTTTTAATATTTTAAGATTCTCAATTACATGAATTAGAAATTTCTAGCTCAAAAGGTAATTTAATGAAATAATGAAATATTTAAATATAACTAATACCGACTTTATATATAATGATAGACGTCACTAATGTCACTAATTGAAGGTTTTGGTATTTTAAGTATTATTTAAGAAAAATTTTTAAAGTTTATTATTCAGATAGGTTAATTACAACATCATAATTATTGGTTAAGGAAACACAACCTATTTTAACGTTAACATATTATTGTGGAGATGATTCTTTTCTACATTGAGGTAACAGATTTGATAAATAATCTTTTACCGGTTATTAATGTTGTTGAAATAACAATATTTAGACGAACGTTTTCAGGTACACCTGATGATTTATGTAGTTTATATCAGTGTTGGCAGGTGACCTTAAATGACCCAAATGACCCAAATGACTAGTCACGGGTCATTGGTCATTTCAAAGTTC